CTCCTTAAAAGCACAGAGAAACTTTCCACTTTCAGCAGATGAATGTGAAAACATCCTTCTAGTGTCAAACTCTGCACAGACAGCATTCAAACATCACATTGTGGGAACAAGGAGAAAGAAGATTTTTGACTTTTTTTGATTTTTGGTGACTTGTTTTTGGTAAGGGGACAAGAGCTGACATGATTGGTGAACTAATCAAGTAAATAGAGAGAAAAATAATGGACGTCCTCTGATTCCAGCTTGTTCAATGTAGGATTTGCTGCTTTTCTGTTTTATATCATGATAAACTAAATATATCTTTGGAGTTTGGACTCACTGAATTAGTGAAAATAGAGCAAATCAATCCAAACAGTGAAAGAACATCATATGGGATCCATAAGTTGGAAGTGGTTTTTATATATATATTAAGTATGAACCACATAAGAAACTGATTTCTGCACCATTCAAGCATTCAAACAGAAATTAAGCATCATCAGCTGAGCAAATAGATCCCTATGACCATGAAGAAAATGATCATAACAAAGTGAACTAGTTTTTCTTTACATGCTGTTTACTGTCTACTCTTCAGGTCTTCTATGGGAACTCTGACCGCTCCTCTATGGTACAGAACCTGCTGCGCCCCCCCATCGTAGCTCGCTATATCCGCCTGCTGCCGCTGGGCTGGCACACCCGCATCGCCATGAGGATGGAGCTGCTGATGTGCATGAACAAGTGTACCTGAAGTACACTCAGCATGCTTTTTCCTCACTGTCCATCCTTCCCCTGCTCAACCTGCTGCTTGCAAAAACAGGGACTTTGGTCCAGCACTGAAAGATCCATCATACCTTCACCTCTTTAACATGTCTGTCTTTTTTTGGTGAGGCTCAAAGCAAACTAAGTCTGGGCAGGAGGACATGTTTGGCAATTGGACACCTTCCGCAATGCATACAGGGGATTCCAGTTTAAAAATGAAAATTGGAGGCTTCAATAAAGCTGCAGGAGTAAAAGAAAGATTTAATTAATTATTCATCAACTTTCTTTGAATCAAACACTGTAATAAAAATATTCTACAAGTTAGGAGTCGAATCAAATGAGTTTGTTTTATTTGAGATTTACTGTTACATATGTAAACATGAATATTCTAAAATTGTTAAGCATTCATTTGTGGGTTTATGTTCTCATGTAAATGCTCTGTTGAAAAAAAAGCAGATAAACACTGACTATGCTACTAATTTGTGTCTGTAATAAAAGCACAAACGTAATACTTGATTTCATTTAAACAGTTGATAAACATCTTCTGTTATAAATATTACCAAACAAGTAGTCACACATCAGTATTAATATAATACACAGTGCTCCTTCAGCAAAACAATAATCCAAAGAGAGAAATGTATTGTGTCAAATACAGAGTGTGCACAGTCCTTACAGAGGCACAATACACAATACGATACGGTCATGTTTGGACTCAGTGTGTGACTGTGGGAGCCTCAGGCCCCGTGTTTCAGTCTTCACACACTGTGCACATAATGAACATGAATCGAGGAAGAATTTACAGAGTCAGAGCAATATTGCTGAGCCACACAGTCTCTTCAAAGTGCAACATTAAAAAGCTTAGGATTTATTTCTGCCAAGCTACTTCCATGGCACTTTATCCCAGACAGAAAACAATGTTACAGTACAGAGCCTCTGCCCCCAATGTGGTTCCATATTAAGATTTCTCAAAGGCTTGTCCCAAGCGGCTCACAATCAGTCAAAAATACACTAGTGCAGTGATTCCCAACCAGGAGTACATGTAGCTGAGAGGGTATTTATGCAGTTGTAAGGTATTACATAGAAACACTGTGGGGGAAAACAGAATGTTAATTTCCACATATTGCGTCAGCTGTAATACCTGAATATTGGTTATGTGTTGTGATGGAGAATGTGTGAAAAGTGAGTAAAAGTAAAAGTAAAAGTATCAGTTGAAATAGATAAAAGTGATGGATAAAGAGATCAAATGGTTAGCTGAAGGTACTGGACATGGTTAAATTAACTAACCAACAGTTGAAATAGCTAGCATAAAGGTAATGGACAAATGGCGAACAGCTAAAAGTACTGGATAAACAGTTGAAATAGTTGGCTAAAAGAAGTGGGGAAATGGTTGAAACAGCTAAAAATAATAGATACGTGGTTAAAATAGCTTATGTAATGAATAAATCTTTCAAATAATAGTTAATGGATAAACTGCTAATACTAGATATGGTTGAAACACCCTGCTACTCCAAGTGGGAGCAATGCAAACGCAAACTTGACGAAAACAAACACTGACAGTTTAACTGTATGAAAAATGACTGCAATAATACACACTCTTATATAACAGCAGTGTTAAATAACATCCAGTTTATGATACATTCAAATGAACGAGGTCTAGATACAGGGTTGGGGACCACTGCACTTGTACACCCAGAATGGCTTTTGTGTTCCTCTAGCTGCTGTAAAAATGACATAAAAGCAATGATTAGGGAAAAAAACCTTCCAATTCATGTTACATAAATATTTTTTTTTACAGCAGTTACTCTTTGTATTGTATTTTAGATGTGCGTGTAAACTGATTAAACAAGTAGAACCACTTGGAAGTTGCTTATGTGAAATCTGTAAGTAAGAAATGAGCAACAAACACACTTCCTTGAATCCTGGTAGTTATCACATCACATGTCCTTTTCCATTAACTGTATCTTTGTAGTTGGCAGCATGGCACCATATCAAGGTTTTATTACTGAATAATTACCGTAATCCGTTATAACACTTTTACATAAATAAACATTTCGGTAAATCATTTTAGATTACATTACTACCAACAGGATCGCCAGTATAGTCTGTTGTCTTTGTAATGATTGAGGTGTCACCATAGTTTTAATTGTATAACATTTGTTTATAATATATATGAAAATGACGATTTACACATATTGTGCATGAAAATCAGTGCCTAAACGTTAGTTAGTGCAGTAGATGCAGTGCTTCATTATCTCCTACAGAGGGCGATGTAGGTTAGAATTTCTGTCTGTTTATGGCACCATAGTGTCTAAAATGGCTGCAAAAGACATAAAAACCTAAATATCCTAAAAAAGAACAGATAGATTTAAGCTTTATAGATTGTCAGTGGCAACTTAGAAAAATTGCACTACAGCGATATTTTCAAGAACAGGACTGCTTTGACTTGCAGTTGCACATTGAGCGCCTGTAACCAGTATGACAGAGCACATCCAAAGCAAGACAGCTGGGACGAATAGTTACAATCCTGGGTGAGATGAACACAATGCAAAGTTACTGACATTACCAATCTCTATTGTAACAACTGATAAAACTTTATTTGTTCAGAATGCCTTAGATAGTCTTAAGGAAATACTACGCAGTAAAATGTACTATATTTCTATATTGAATAGAAACAAAAATACTTACACTTAAAATCTACACTTTATCTATCCATTTATATATATTTAATTTGTAATATATTTACTTTATAATACAAATTATAATTAGAATTACAGAAGTAATAATATAAATGTCTATCAAACATGGAAGCTTTAAAAAAAATGAAGACATAAAAAGGCTTTTGGCCTATTTGCAAGCAGTGTTTCAAACTGAAGGTTTGGTATCTGTGATTTTTTCACGCGTGTGTGTGTGTGTGTGTGTGTGTATTCAGCAGGTGCACTGTTACGCAAGGGACGTGTAGGAGCAACAGAGGGGAAAACGGAGGAGTCTGGATCTGAGAGCTGTAGGGTGAGGGAGATCACAGAGCCGTCTCTTTCAGGTCGTTGAGGTTTGGCATACGAGACCTGGAGGGGCGTCCGAAGCCATGGCCGTTCTGGCCTCCCTTGATGCTCATTTGCTCTGGGTAGGGGTTGCCCTCTGGGCGGCCCAGGGCGGACGTGTGCCAGCCAGACTCCAGCTGTCCGGGCAGCGGGTAGGCTGTCTGGCGGCTCTTCAGCTGGGGCGTGCTAACCCCTGAGTGACCCCGGCTTTCTGTGAATCCACCTTGAGCAGTGGCTGGATTAGGCAGTGGCTGGTAGCGCATGTCAGACGGCGCGGTCTGGTTGGAGGATGAGGATGAAAGGTGCAGGAGTTTGCGCAGAGACTTCAGTGGCTGACTCTGAGGGGGACATTAAACATTACCCATGACCAACACATTTCAATCACACATTGAAGAAAAAGAAAAATAGTGTCATTTTGTGAGACTTGCCGGAGAGTGTGAGTCAGACAGCTTCTCAGGTGGCCAGTCCTTGTCCCTGTCTCGGTCGCGCTCTTGGTCCCGGTCTCTACTCTTGTCCCGGGTCCTGTGGCGGCTGCTCTGGTGACCTGAAGACCTGGAGGACTTCTGGATGACTGTGTCCACCCCTTCATTAGGAACCTTTCACACATTGGGTGTAGATATCACTAAACCTGTCCAAACTAACCATTTCAAACTTATGAAAGTAGTTCCATAATATGTAAAAAACAACAAGAAACATGTTTGTTTTTCTCTGAACAACAAATGTGTCCAACACAGGTTTTTACTGTATTCCTTGAAACTTATATTTTATAGTCTGAGTCCGATTAAAACCTTATAAATGTGCTTTAGAAAAGAGATTCGTGTGTTTCATGTTATCCTTTACATGTGTATTTACCACGGACATAAGCTGGAACATATTTTTGACAATAGGCCTTTAAATGCAGTAAAGTCAGAAAAATTAAAAAACATAACATGCATCTGGAGCCAGAAACCCTAATCATTCACTGATCTGAGGAAGAGTAGACATCTTCTCTTGTTTATGATTAACTGCCATACAATCCATGACATATCTAATCATTTTCAAATAATCTACTCTTCATGCAGCAAACACAATTTTCACCAACTCTGAGTCTGACTGCCTGATTCCTCCTGGCCAGATTGAGTTTATTTGTGCTCTGTCATCAGACGTAACCCCCCTCTCAGCATCTGAACAGACTGCCACATATAAATAGAAATGTGAGGGGAAGAAAGAGTCTCAAACACCTGTGTCATGCCGAACCTTTACTGCCACTGAGACGGCAGTCAGTTTAACATGTCAGAATGTGGATGCTTTTATATTTAGCAACTCTTTGGATTCCTCCTCCTTACTGATCTTTCCTCTGTAATCAGGTCACAGGTTTAGATACACTTAGAGGGGCAGAAAAAAAGTTGATCAAATGCTTCTGTGTAAGCAGGAAAGCTTCACGTGAGTGTAACCAGGCACACAGACTCTTAAAATCTCATGTGCTTAACCAAAGCCTGAGCGCTCTCGTTCATCCTCAGCTCATAACCAGAGACATGCTGTTAGGGCTGTGGCTGAAATCAGTGTTGACTGACGAGAATCAAATGGGCCCAACACAAAATTTGACCAGCCAGATCCATTTATTGACGCGTGAACAGCCCTGCGCTTCATCAAATGGAAAATTCTGAGAGTGCAACACTTTTTTATCAATTCAACGATCAACCATCAATAATCTGAACATTAAAAATGGCACTTTATTGCCTAATTTTCAATACTGATAAGAGTTGTACTGATACGCATAGATGGATCTGACTGGTTTATGTTGACAGCTCATTATTTTGTGAATGAATGAATTGAAAAATATAATCAAAGAAAACTACTAAAAAACCAGTTCACTATGAAACAATAAAGCAGTCTTGATTACTATTGTTAATGCATGCAATGTCAGATGGGTGGCGTGGAGTTAGCAGGTGAGTAGGATAGTGTAAAACAGCATGTACCATGGAAGAGGACACTACAGGGAGGACTCTCACAGAGGAACTATGCTTTATGTTATTCTTTGGGCTAAACAGAGGGAAAAGACATTTCTTGATGACAGGAGGCCTTCCATCAGGGACTGGCATCTGCAATATAGAGGCACATGACTGGTGGCACAGGGAAACATGATGCACATGACAACAAGAAGAAATGATTTTATATCTCTGTAAATATGCTAACAAGGCAAATGCATTGAACATTTGAAAAGCAGAGGAGGAGATACAGTATGTAGACAGACATCAGAGGACTTGTGCATGAAATAGTGCATCCAGACATGGTTCACATCCCGCAGAAGTACTTGACATGTAAGTTACCATTTGAGATTTTTTCTTTTTCTTCTTTATTGCTCTGAAGAAACCTTGCTTCTCCTTTTCTTTGGATGGTTCAGAGGGGTTCAGCACTACAGTATCTGGGCCAGTCCTGAAAATAAAACAAAGGGCACTGAGCATGATGTCCCAACTAAGAATGTACAATATTTTTAAACTCCCAGTGAGCCACCATGACGTGTGACCAGTGTGAAATGAAACTGTTGTCACAGAGCAACGAACAAGGAACAAATTGTTGTTGCCAAGGTAACCTACGGTAAAGGAGATATTCTTTGGTAAACAACATATGATCTGTTGTGGTTAGAAGGGATAAGTACCAGGGGTCGAATGCCGGCTGACGTTTGGAGTGGTTCGTCAAACCCGTGCCATCCCCGGACAGGCCAGAGCCCCGGCTCTGACCCCTGCTGTCATGGAAGGAGTTGTCTGGCCGGGGAGAAGGGACTGTTCAACACACACAACAAATACGTTCATTCACATAATAAACAGACTGGTTTCTCAGTCTATACCAACTATTTCAAAGCAAACTGTGTATGTGTTTTAGCAGATAATGTATTGTATATATATATATAAAATAAAACTAAATGACTAAAAGAGGACAGGAACAGACAGAGGACTGTGGTGGTTTTGTAGTCATTTGCAGCTAAATTACAGATAAAAATAAGTTTCACAACAGAACAACGGCTCCCGTTCATTAAAGCAACTGTGTACAATTTGTTCCCAACTATGGTGTCCCTCTGTGGTAGCATCAAAAAAGAAACTCTGGCAGACAGCCAGCGTACTCCACTACCCCAGTGTTGGACACTGACATGAACAGACTGAAAGCAATGGATTCAGCTTATTGCAGATGCATTCGTAATATACATGTTGGCCAATAAGTAAAAACAGTTGGCAGTATATAAATGCTAAAGGTTTGTTTGAGGTCAGTTAGAAACAGCGTCTCCATTACATAGTTTGTCCACCAGAGAGCAAATGTATTCTAAAATTTGTTTTCCAAAAACAGTTAAACAGGCGTCCTGTTGTAGATTAGCTGCATTGGTTCTAGGAAAGGCAACGACAGTTGGTCAGTCCACCACTCACAGACTGAAATATCTCAACAACTGTTGGATGGATTGCCATGGAATTTGGCACAAACGTTCATATATTCCCCCACTGTATAAATAGTAATACCACTGGTGGCCCATTAACTTTTCATCTAACACCATCAAGACAAAACATTTTGTTTTGTGAAATAACCAAAATCAATAGATCATTGTCAATAATGTTTGCTTGTTCAGTGTTCATGTTAAAATTTTGATTAAGAGTTTTAAAGATTTTGAATCGAGTGCTGGGCGGTATGCCCTGCCAGTGCAACAGCTGCTGTAACGCTTAATAGGCAGCAATGTTGTTTTTGTCTGTGTCTGTGAAGAGCGCTAAGACAAGTTGTGTAGTGTGTATTGAGAGGGGAGCCCTATTAACTGAGCACCATTCTTACTGGTTATAACATAAACAATAAACTAACTCTCTTTAGGCAAAACAGTATGGCACACAGCAATTAGTTTTTTACCCGTGCAATAGAACATTTGAGAAATATCTATTTGAATACTTAAATATTTTAGCCTTTTATGTCAGTTTATAGAAATATACTAAAATTACTTACTTAAATATTTTGTTTTGAAAAGCAATGTTAAAATTGTGGCATTTTTATTTTTAAGTTGTTTTTAATATGTTGCAGTTTACACCATTAAAGTAGTAGCCACTATGAAACTATATTAAGGCACATGCAGAAAAAAAAAAAAAAAAAACTGCCAGAATCTTAAAAAAATACAGTGATACAGATTTTTGGTCATACTGCCCAGCACTACTTCCAAACATCAATATTGGTATCAGGCTGAAAAATCTACATAATGAATATACAGTATAATTATTAATATAGAGCACAGATGTTCTACCCATGGTACCCATGGTGAACATCTTTGATTTTATCAACTGCAGTAAACTACAGTCAAGTGTTTAATGCTTAAAACTGAACTGTCATCTTGATCTCCACAGTGCAGTGAAAGAAAGAAAGACACGGCCAGAGATTTGAGTATGACTAAACCAACCTCTGTAGAAGCTGCCCACCCTCCTAGGCATGGATTCACTGTAGATGTTGCGGTTCTCTTTGGAAGAGCCCCCATCTTCTGTTTGCTGGTCATGATATAAGCCAACCTGAGTCACAACAGAAGACGTAGTCACATAATAGCTAAAGGCCAACTGGTTTGCATGCCTCTCTGCCTGAGCTGATATCTTTATTTGCCCGAAAGAACAGTAAAAATGGGAGGTGTTGATTGATTTACAAGTGGTCATTATGATAAAACAACAACATCTGTAGAGGCTATAAATGTATTGCAGAATCAAACTGAAATGTGCTCCGATGACAAGCTCGACTGTGCTATCATAAGTAGTCACATTAAAGGGAAGCAAAGCACACAGAGAAAATGAAGAGGCATCTGATGCAAAGAGACACAGAGAGCGAGAGAGAGAGAGAGCAGTTCATGACAGCAGTATCCACCCACATCCAGTCTACCGAGAGTGCGGATGTGGGTGGGGAATGGTGGGTGCAGGCAGAATGTCGGACCTCGCTTTTTTGCCGCTGTGTGTGAAAAGATGCGGTGTTGTCCCTTGTGGAGTCCCTTATTGGGGGTCTGCTGTGGGTGACCTCAGTGGGTGCCTGTTCGCTCTGTTAATGGAGACATGATGGAGCATGAAGTGAGTTCAGCATTGCAGCACACACATACAAATACACACACGCACACACTATATATACTATATGTGTATATACAGTATATATAAATATACAGGTAGCATGATTTACTGTATATCCTAACAAGAAAGATACACTCCTAACACCTGCAGTGTTCATAGGATGAAGCTGCAGGTACGTTAATCCTGCCAATCCTACAAACCAAGGAAACTGACTAACAAGATCTGGCTGGAAACCTAAACACAAATCATGATATTATTAGACGCCACCAGAATAAATCCTGGCTGCATTGTTGTAGAGACACTGAGGCACAGTTATCCAACACAACCTGGTGTAGGCATCTGATATGATTAGATCATGTAGGCTTTCCTTAAGGTTGGAGAGGTCTGATGTGGGCTGATGACTGACCCTGCTCATGTCTTCCTCTCTGGAGGAGCCCCCAGAGTGGCGAGGCAGTGTGCGGTGCTGCAGCTGCGGAGACAGGAGCTGGAGGCTGCTGGCTCTGGTGGGAACACCCTGGCCCACCACAAGCCCCTCGTCCGTCCCGTGTGTCCTCTGATGGTCCCTCCGTACATACATGGAGTGGCGGTGCGGCCGCTGCTGGGAGGAGAAGGGGCTGGTATATCCCTGACCGTACGACAGAGGGTCGTGTGGCGCAGACAAAGAGTGAGCATGGCTCCTTTCAACGCCACTTTCCACAGGGTCCAGGGCATCTGGCGACTTGGCCTCCTCTGAGGCCTTGTGGCGGGTGGAGGAGCGCCTGTAGGAGGAGTCCAGAGTGTTGCTTTCTCTGTCAGAGCGCATGCTTCCTCTGCCAGCTGTTCCAGGCCCCAGTCTTTCCACCCGACGGGCTGCTGGGCTGCTTGGGGCTGTGAGGTCGAGGCAGCTTGAGGGGAAATAGCGCGATGTAGGCTCATCAGCATAAAGATGCACATCATTTAAGTTCCCTACTGACTTGGCATCGCTAAGCGTGCCATAGCTCTTGGACAAGTTCAGGTAGGCGAACTTGGAGGAGGAGGGCGTGGAGCTGTGGGACTCCATGTAGCTGTGTCGACTATGTTTCTCCCCTGACTGAAGCGTGTTGGTCTTCCCCTCCACAAAAGAATGGCGGTTCTGCTGTGAGCGGAAGTTGGATTTGAGGTACTTGGCTCCAGGGCCGTCAGACACCTTGGGCCCCAGATTCATCTCGAAGTCACCTTTGCTCTTGGCTTCGCCAGGGCTGAGCAGATGAGGCAGGTTGCTGCTGGCCAGGTCCATGTTGCACGAGGTGGAGTGGTTGTAGATCTGCGGCTGGTAGTTCTTGGGATGTAGAGTGGGACTGAGGTTGATCGCTGCAGGTATGTTGCCGTTGAGAAAGCCATCGTTGCTGGGGTGGAGGTCTTCATGCCGAGGCAAGCTAGAGCACTCTCTGCTGCTGGAACGGTGGCCTCCTGAGCTCTTTCCCCCATGGCTCCTGAGCGGAAAGAGAGAAAAAATGGACAACATCAACGTACTGTACATCACACATTCAGTTTTATAACCTATAATGATAACCTAACCTGTGTTAGTTGGTTTAAATAATGCCATTTTATTAGATCCAGAAATTGTCATGTGTGGTGTTCCACAGGGATCAATTTTAGAACCCCTACCCTTCCTAATACATGTAAATGATATTAAATCTGCAGTTGATTGCGTTTTTAATGTGCAGGAGCTAAATTTGGTTGAAATTGATTACAATCTTTAAAAACAAAACATTTTTATTCAATCAAATGGTAAGAGTAGTGATGGGTGAATGTATTTAGTGTTTTAGTAAAAAAAGTCTATAATGAGTAACAGTAATAGTAATGTAAACAATGGGGCATAGCAGTCTTTGTTTTGACTTTGACTTAGTGTTTTTATCTTGTGCCTTGTGTCTGCACTTTTATGCATACTGTAACACCTTGTTTGTTTTATTTGCCATTCATAGTTTGTTTTACTTTATTTCTTCTGTGTTTCTGCATGTCCATGTTTTGTGTTGGATTAAGTATTTTTCTCTTTGTATCAGTTTGTTTTTCTTGTGAATAAAAGTGTGATATTTGTAAGTTGTTTTCTGACAGAATGAAACCAAACCAAAGGGTCTGAATCCTCTAATAAAGGGCAATTCTGTAAAAATGTCACTACATGATGACTGCCGCAGATAAGGCAGTCACATTTGCATAAGAAAAAACATACCGACTTATGCATCCAAACAACAGGGAGACACTGACAAGCTTAAACTTATAGTTATAGTGCTCACTGCTGACCTGCTGGGGGTGGTGTTGTCTCCATGGTGAGGTTTTCTCTTGGAGGAGCGTACAGGTGTAGGTGTGGGTGGGCCGGGCCGCTCCACCAGCCGCAGGGTCTGGAAGGCGTGGTGGTTTAGGCTCTGCTCTGTGAGAAAGCGCTCTGTCGGGTTCAGCAGTAGCAGGTTCTAAAGCACAAACACACAGAGGGAGCCTGTGAGTCCTCGAGACACCCCGAATATCCCGACCTTGCATGCAAACTGAAACAGTCATGCTATTATGAGTCATCGCCATTATTATAAAAGTCAGGCTGCTGATACATTTAATTGTGTCTTACAGACACCAAGAAAGCCACACACTAATGTGAAATATGATTTATGACATTTTCTTTTTGATGCTCAAATAAATATGTTTAACAATCTGTCTCCATACACTCAAAATAAAACCTGTGAACTTAAGATAGTTTGTGAACTCTTGAGTTTATGTAACTAAAATTTATAGTGGCAGCTACTTTTCTCACTTTCTCAGGAGAAACAACAGAACTAATAAGAGAGACTCCTTGCAAGCCAGACAACTTTGCATTATCAATTAAGAGACATTTTGTTAAATTAATTTCTAAACTCAACTCAAGAAAGTCTGATTAGTAATGAGAGACATGCCTGTCCTTGCTGAAGTCAGTCCTGAGATGACATTATGTTAGCAGTGAGTCATTATCTACTGGGAAAAGCGCAAGTGCACAAGCACAGCCCACATTCTTGACATAGAGCTCCTGTTTACAGTGCAGACACAGCAATAACAGCAATGCTGGAACCAGGATATGAGCTGAGAGATGCTAAAGCAGTGAAGAGGCATCACGCAGTCACGACGTAAACACAACGATAATGATGCAATTATCAGATGACAAGTTTATGAAAATTGGAGTTATTATGGTTACAGAGTAGCTTTTTGTCATGGTGTGTAAGCAGGAATAAACAGAAACTGATAAAAAGGTGGAAATACAATCATCTCTGCAGCAGAGCTGCTTTTCAAGCTTTGCCAGGAACTGTGATCCCTACCTTCAGCAGGTCGAGCAGGGCTCCGCCGATGATTCCCAGGTATCTTCGCTCCAAGGTTTGGGGGTGGTTCACAGCAGGGAACTAAAACAAGAAACAGTGGATCACAGTACAGCCAAAAATGTAGCCACAACAAATGTCCAAGTGATAAATGATCAAACAATCACTACTTTGCAGAAAGACCAGCAATATCAACCACCTGTACTTTGTATGTAGAGTAGAGGAGTATGTGTAATCAACTAGTTTTCATTGTAAGTGATGTTATCTACCTGAACTTTAATATTAGTAAATATAGGGAATATTATCTTATTAAAAATCCTCAGCTTGAAATGGTTTCTTGATACAAATATCTGGAGGTTCGTACTGATATGAAATTAATTAATTAATTTAATTAATTAAGCTTTAAGGTACTATAAGATTTTTTTCATTGGTTATAAAACAGTCTTGATTTAATACTGATGCCTTTCTATATAATTATTGTAAAAAGCTGCCGGGTAGGATTCGGTCAGATTCCCCCTAAAATCAATGGAACGAGGCAGTGGAGACACTACCGCTTTTGTCCCCAGTGGGACCAGAACTTCATATGAAAAGTCTGTCAGTTTGTAGTTGCTTTAAAAAAGGCACAATCTAGGTTGTATGTCTTCAGGAAGTCAAAGTACTTCAAGGTCAGTAAAAGGATACTAAAATCTAACAATGTGGCCTGTGCCATGCTTTATCGTGCTATATTTTAGGGTAACAGCATTACTGTCAATGACAGGAATAGGGCTGACTCCTGATACTATAGTCTTTATTTGAAATCCCATAAAGTGGTTACTAGTCTGTAGGGTTCATCAGAAAATGTTTTGGAAGCAAACCACACTTTTTGATTTTAGAGGGCAAAAAGTTAAGTGACCAGTTGAGGATGCTAAGACACTCCAAACAATGGTTTATAGGGTCATCTGTGAGCATAGCTGTTAAACCTTTGAAGGGCATGTGATGCCTTGCCTGAGAAATGGGTTGTACTTTTGATATAATTTGTAAGGTTTCATTGATGTATTGCCTGTGGTAGGCCTTTTTTTATAAGAACTGCCTGATTGTATTAAATAGGGTAGGTGGGCTGCTGAGCTACACCAATGTCCTCCCAGAACATTTGTTACTTGTTATTATGTTAGTGTCACTGCTGTTGTGTGGTACGTCTTTGTTGTCTGTTGTCTGACTTCTATCTTTACTTATTATTACTTATATTCCCCTCAGGGGACTCATTTTAATAAATTATCTAATCTAATCTAGGTTAGCATGTAAGTATGATGACCCTCTCGTAAAACTTCTACATTTGACTTTCTCCTGCAGATGCTGCTACTCCTGAAATTACATTCTGCAAACCCCATTGTCTGACTCAAAAGAGCACTGTTGCATGTGCTTTCTTCCACATTCAATATTCCTGTCAACCTTTCTTTTTGACATGATTTTTCTTCTCACTATTGTGAGTTTGCTGGTTGCCAAAAAATGTCCAGAAGCTGTTGTTTTTACATCACACATTTCCTAGTGTTGCAGAAAGCACACCGTAGGTGGCCAACATGATAAGACAACGATCAAACATCGTGTGTTCACTCACAAGTGTTATGTGGTTTCTTGCTGGTCATGCATTAATCTTTTTGTGTTTTTTTTTGTGTTGTTCCTTCAAACACCATTCTCATTTCTCATGGTCCTGTCTGCTGTTATTACAATAATTATTAACTATGTCCACAAATCAGTGAAGTTTACTGGCAGGGTGAGTCTCTCTGATCACTTAAATGACGGCATAGAAATGTTGTTTATTTATTTTTCCTTGAGCAAGTACTAACAATAGCAGGTGCTAGATGTTTATTCAAGAAGCATCCCTGTCTGACATGTGCCTGTCTTACTGGAGGGAGCATTTCACTTTAGAAAAACAACTTAAATGTATTCATGAGCTGGAATTCAGACATGAATTTAGGCTCTGTTCCAAAATACGTTCCCACGCCCATTAACTAGTTTTTAAAACCCACAAGTGTCCCAAATTTAAAAAATGCAGCATTATCAAGCAGGGTCCTTATCAGCGGGTATTCACTGTCAGGTATTCACAGAGGGGCAGTTTGCTAACTAATAATTATATCCTGAAGCGTGGGCAGACAAGAGAAGGGAAGGACGACCCGGGTCTGTTGTACCACCAGCCTGCCACAGAAGACTTATCCCAGCCTTCCTTCACAGAGCATACAGGATACATGATACACGATGAGTCATTGTGATCCAATCAGTCACGGCACAGCAAACTCAGCCAGGAGAAGAAAAAAAAACAAGCAGAGAGTGCAGAGACATAGCGGGGAGAGAAAATAAATAAGGGAAAGAGAAAAAGAGGAGGAGGAGGCAGAAAGAGACAGCAAAGGAGAGAGAAGATCAAGGCGAGAGCATTGGAAGAAAAGCAAAGGAGCAGCAATAAGAGCAACATGGAGGGGATGGGTCAGCAGAGCGAAGCGTAGTGAGGACTGAGGTAAAGATGTGTTACCCGCAGTCCGTGGAAGCGGGGGTTGTTATAGAAGAGCTTCATCTGTTCAGGTGGCAGGGGTCCCAACACTTTCTGGATGGTAAAGAGCTGGTCAATCTCACTCTCTCCGGGGAACAGAGGCTGCCCGTCACTCAGCTCTCCTAAAATGCAGCCCACTGACCACATGTCCACAGCCTTCCCGTAAGGTGCCCTGGGACCAGAGATTTAAGGGGTTGGTGATTAAGGCCAGGCATAAGAATAGCTACTGAAAGGATATGTCAGTGTAGTGACCGAGTTCTTGGACGAGGTTAAAAAATACCGGACGTACCCGAGCAGGAGCTCTGGAGAGCGGTACCATCTAGTGGCAACATACTCGGTGTAATTGGCATCAGTCCCCTCAGAGAGATTACGTGCAAAGCCTGGAAAGAGAAGACAGAGGAAGCAATATAGTATAATGAGGAGCTGTTTGATATCCTCTACATGCTGAGATACCTAAAAATTATTTAACCCGGGCACCTCTCTGGACACTCATTATGATTCAGAGGTGTACGTAATAAAGTTGTTGGGTTAAGGAAAAGTTGCACTCATATAGGAAAGATGATGAGTCCTCTTGTGACACACGAGACACACACTGGTAAAAGTGGTCAGTGGTCTAGAAATGATCTCGCAACCCCTGTGGGGGTCTCGACCCACAGGTTTAGAGTCACTGATCTAATAGTTTGAATAAAGCGGTTCTGCTTTTGGGAAAATATGTTTGTTCGCTGTGAAGCTACAGACAGGAGGCTGTTAGCTTAGCTTAATCCATACAAAAAACAAAGCATGAAAGCATGAGCTTCAGTAGGTAGAAAACATTTTTTGAGTCAAGATAGTTCCCTGTTTACAGTCTATGTGCCAAGCTAAGCAACTGGTTATATCCATATTCAATGGTAAGATAGGAGAGCACTGGTATTAAGCTTTTCATCTAACTCACTGCCAGAAAGCTCAAAGACTTTAACTATTTGGGTAGAAATCTGAATTCATTTTTATAATCCTGAAGCATGACTATAAACTATATTGAAAACATATTATATCATGATCTATAGTTCTCAAGGAATAGTAAAACAGACAAGAGAGTGATATCAATCTTCTCATCTAATTCCCGTCAAGAAAGCAAATAAGCTTGCTTCTCAAAATCTCAAACTATTCCTTTAAAAACTCCAAGGAAATAGTACCACTAGTGAAACTAAAGTCCTTGTAACGTGAACAATAAACCGGCCCAGAGTGAAAAGACAAAGCTGTTAGCACGAGCTTTTCATTTCCAGTTTGGGCATTTATCAATCTTGCTTGTACTGACATTCAAAATCAAAACAACACAATGACAATAAATGTGCGGTAAGACAAAGTCCCAAATGTAAACCTTCAGAGCGGGGTCTGTTTGGCCTATGCCTGTTCTCTCAATGCCTTTGGCTGACACAGAGCAAACAGCAGGTCTTCAGTCTCTCACTCCAGATTGCTTACATGATGTTGGCTATGCCATGTTTTCCGTTTCCCCCGTTTTGTTGTGGCGCTACCAGATTGAATCAAAGCATGATTAGCCTCTTGTTTTCAAACACGTTTCCATTAATTGAGATGAGGGAAGAATGCACAGCAGCAGCAGCCTGAGAACCAGGAGAGATGGCTGCACACAAAGCTTTAGATAACCGGATGAAGCCTGCCTGCTGCCCCTCTGAAGCACTGGTTTCAGCCAAATATAGTCTCTGTTGAAAATACTCCTTTTACATCACAGCTTTGACTGTTTGGCCACCTTCCTTACAGCTCTTACAGTGCGAGTGTTTGATAGAGGTGCTCACCAAAGTCACATAACTTGAGGACGTCATCAGAGCTGATGAGAAGGTTTTCTGGCTTTATGTCTGAGGAGGAAGAACACACATATGAGGGGCATCAGTGTTACATCATCACTACACACATCATTCCACCACCACATCGTCCTCTGTTTTACTTAAAATATTACATTTGTTTTACAGTATGTAAAAAGCAGCAAGCAAAGAATCCAAGAGATCAAATTCTATCAGTGAAAATTCACAGATTGTAAAGACAAACCATAACTTATACATCAAATCCCTGAATAACACTGTCATATGTGTGCCTGGATATACCACGGGCCATTTGGATGCATGCTCTGTTGCATTCAGTACGCCAAAAGCTCACATGGGCCATCTGGTTTCCTGCTCTGCTGCCACTGTTTCACCCAAAAGCTCACATCTTGTGAACAATAAGAAAGACCAATGAAGCCACTGTGCCATGAGAGTAGTGAAGAGTCAGAAATATACATTTATAGTATTTTATACCAAAATTGTAAAGTATTGTTTCTAATTCTCAAAATCTAAGCACAGTTGGTGTCAGTGGTAAATGTGGACTTGCTTAAGCCTCTTCCAGCTTAGAAACAAATATGGACATATCGCCTCGTCTGTGCCTCACTAACACTGTCACACCCCTCGCCATGTTTTTATAATGTCTCGTAATAAAGCAAAGGAAAAAGTCAGGAAAGGGAGATTTTACCCCGGTGAACTATGTCGTGCTTATGGCACCAGTGAATTGCTCTGATTAACTGGTAGATGTAGCTGCGAGCTTTCTCAGTCGGCACACCGTTGGGTAACTCCTCGAGCAGCTCAAGCATGTTCTAAAAGAAAAAAAAAAACACCACCAAAAAATCAAGATGACCTCCACAGTAGGTGACAGTAACATAAAAAAATCACTCAAGACCTTATAAAGGAACGGTCTGTAGGTGAATCTTACCTTCTCCACATACTCAAAGACAAGATATAGCTTTCCTCTTCTGCGGAAGGCCTCTTTCAACTCAACAATGTTCTCCTGCTTGAGGGTGCGGAGCATCTTAAGCTCCCGTAGTGTCGTTTCTTTAACCTCCTCATTTTCTGTGAGGAGGTGAGATAGAGGGGAAATCTGGATCACAGTGGGCTCACGGGTAGTGATAAAGATGGGATGCCTTCCAACAGAAATAAAGATGTTGAATGGTTTGACAATAAAAAAGACTTGTTGTCCTCTTACCTTCACTGTCCTTGAATTTCTTAATGGCCACAATTTCATTGGTCTCCTGCAATAAAAGCACAGAGCAACTCGTTAGAAATCAATCTTGTTATTGCTGCAGACAATACATCATGGTAGTGGGAAAACACAACAGAAGAGACAAAAACACATATAATAGTATTACTATTGCTGCTTTTACTACTGCCACTGCTGGTGATAAGAAGTGTAAATGTAACACTGTTTTACATTCAGTTGTGTGCCCACACAACTGAATGTCTAAAAGAAATAAATAGTTTAATCTTTAAAACAAACACATTTGTTTAAAATCAAATTTGCAAACACCGATTCAAACACCAATTTGAATAGAAATCAGCATTCACGATTGACGTACTGCTCTCAAACTAACACCTGTGTCTGTACAATATAGCCCACTGGTTCCCGACCTGGGGCTCAGGACGGGGTCAGGTCACGGGAGGAGTCTAACAATGATCACTGGGCACCAAAAAGGAAATTTAAAATTTGGCTATACAGATTTTTCTCTAATCTTTTATTTTTTCTAATTATTGTATAGTTTTACCTTTTCAGGCTTTTTCTCATATTAGTCAATAAATCGACTAGTGGAGTGACAAAAAATGGTATATTTCTTTATTCTGATAAAGAAAATGCCAAACATTTGATGGTTACAGGTTCCAAATGTGAAAATGTCCTGCTTTTCTTGGTCTCACATTCAACGCTTTGGGTTACCGACTGTTTGTTGGACAAAACTAGACATCTGAAGAGTCACCTTGGAGTCTGGGAAACTGGGATGGACATTTTACACTGTTTAAGTCAAGTTTTATAGAGCAAATTAATCAAGAAAAAAATGAATTAATAATAAAAAATTGCTAGTTGCAGCCCTAGTATCATCTGAGAATTGCCGCAAGGAGACTTCTGAATGATTTACTGCTGAACTGTAGTGCAACTAGGACTGGTGCACCTGTTAAAGTGTAAAGCTTGAGAAAAAATCCTGCAAAAACAATCTGTGTCACTTGTTTAACGACATGAAATAATCAGCAATACACAGAGCAAACAAAGATATTAAGAACTAATCACCACTGAGTCACTGTGTTCCTGAGACACTTCTCATCATCCCTCCATGAAATTCTCTGTGAGAGACGCCCCGCCACTAGCCCCATTTCTCGACATGTCCTAGTTAGGGCTGGTATTTCTGCCTATGGCTCAGAGCTGTGCTCCAGTTTCCCCCCTCAGAAAGCCAAAGGCAGCATCGCACCACTCCAGCATGGATCACCGTGAACAGTGAGCCCTCCTCCCAGCACAGAGGAATACAACATGACTCACAGCAGGGTCAACTCCATGAGCATCACTGTACTGTGCACATGCAAGGTAGCCTGAGCGAAGGGACATTATATACCCTGCAGGCTATACATTAAATAACCTGGGATATGTCAAAATGTTGTTAACTAATCGAGGAAATGAAACCTGATTAGTAGCTACAGTGCATTTCAACTAACAAGGATCAGAAGAAATTGTAATGTGCATGTACTGTATATGTAACTCTTTACTTATGTAAGTCTGCACACAGGAAGTCACTGTACCTGCCCAATAAATAGGTGCACCTTGTAAAGGTTTGCACAGATTAAACAAACATTATATGACGTGTTAATTAGTGAGTGCTGGATGAATGATTGTTTTCATCTTTGTACAGAGGCAGGTTAGCTGCTTCTACCTGTTTCCAGTTTTTGTGTTAAGCTAAGCTAATTACTTGCTCAGTCTTCACCAATAACTCACCATTAAGCAAAGAAGCAAAGTCACTTATTTATGTTGAACTATTCCTTTAAAATGCAGTTCCTCTACTGGCCACTAAATGTAAAACCTCCCTCTAGAAACACCGAATCCAGACATTGTGATCTCAGTGGTTAATTCCTAAAGTGTGAATGCAAAATTACAGATTCATTAAAAAGGAAATAATTTTTAAGAGAAGTGATTGTTTAGTTGATTGACATGTCTCAGTTCATTTCGCTTGGTAGCTCGTGCCTGCTTGTCTCACTTCAGGTCTATCCAAGTTCCGCTGCCCATTTGCCAAACAGCACTACGCCTAAACCCAGGCATCAAAACACCCCTTCGGAAACCGACTGCTGACAAAATGTTTTTCATCACTGCATTCCGGTAAACACACACTTATCAAGGCAAAAGGCTGAAGAATAATTAGTCAGATGAACGAATGTGCAGCACTAAAACAGCCGTGATTTGCGTCTGAGACTTGAAGGGCACATAAGTGAGTCTTCACATAGAGCATCATCCCCACCTGAACTAAATACCACCCAAACTACCCAAAAAGTAACTTCACAGCTCCAGAGACCCAAGTTAATCTGTTTACAGGACATTACACCAATCATTTCAGTCAGTTCAGGTTATTTCTGCTTCAAGCTCAAACCACAGAAAGCATGCAGTCAGAGTGGTAGGAGAAAACAGACATTATAAAATCAACACCACCACACTGATCTCTCATTTGTTCAAGTAAGTTTTGCAGTTTATAGTGTGTGCATGTTCACGTTGGAGGGATCAGTGCAGTACACCAGCTGCTCTCAACCTTTTCGTGTAACATTTTATTTTAAGCTCTTTAGGAATTCCCATGTGGTGATGGACTGTGAGGCTCATTTGTGTGGGAGAGAAACCAAGCTGGGTAAATTGTTATTTACTATGTACATACTGTCCCTCTCCAAGGACTTGAACAGCACAGATTAAGCACTTGGGTCAAACAATACCACCTATTCAATACCTCCTAAAGCCTTAAGGTACAGTATCTATATCCCAAACACTAGGATACGGAGGTAGGTAGGTTTTATCAGCTAAAAGATAATATAGTTTGTTGCGTGTGAACTCATATGTACCTACGTTGAAAAACACTGTTGCAGCTGCAACCTGCCCTACAAAGGTTGAAACTTTCTCAAAGTAAAGGCCCTTCTCGCCACACCCAAATCAGTAACGCCACTTTTTGCCTTTGAAAACATCTGAGAGAACATCTGCTGTGACGTCGATTAAGTCCTGAGTAAATCTTCAAAGTGGGGACGCAGTCAGTTTCATAACTTTGTAAATATCACCCACTGGAAATGATGAAAAAGCACATAATTAATTACTGAGTAATTCATTGTTCATAATCTTTATTAAAGCAGTCATCTCATGTGTTTTCCAAGGCACAATGAGTCAGTGGAGGATGTAGTCATGCCTCTGCTGTGTAACATTCCTTCGTGCATCATGCTGTCGTATTTTCATCTGGTTTGAAGAGCATGCTGCCAAACGACAAACACTGAACCCAGCATTAAGGGCATCAATTTTGTGTCAAAGGCTGGCTGTTGCACAGAGCATAACATGATCAAATTGCCAAGATCCCATGTTATGTCACTATTTACGCTGTCCAAATAAAGAGATCAATCATGAACTGCTTGGCTGTGACATTTGTTAATAACAGCCTGGTGGATCTCTGGGATGATGAAACGCTTAGAGTGGAAAGCCAAAAAAAAGTACAGTTGGTAGCAGGGAGATTACCTCAAACAAAACACCAAACAGGCACTGCAAATGTGTTTCTGTTGCAACTCAAACTTTTCCTCAGCAGATTCCTCAATAAATACATGTATACACAACGCTACCTGTAATGACAGAGTGCTTTCTTTTGACTCACTGAGCATCTCTGAACCAGCACTTCATTTAAATGCAGAGGACTGCAGGTGATATTCAATGTGATAGCAACAAAAAGACCCCAAAAGTCATTGGAGACCACACCTGTGGAGTAAGCAATGTAAATTCATTCACTAAAAAAGTGACAAATCTAGTAATTTGCAGACTGCCTTGTATTAACGGTGACAATTGGGTTTTATCTGTATTTTGTGAGATATATATGAATGTTCCCTATATATGTTCTCATATGTGCTAGTATTACAAACGAATGTATTCTTACTGACAGATTAATGAAGAGCCACATCATAAGGCACAAAGACAATAGGAATGACCAAGTATGCCATTTGTTGCCAACAAATCCAAAAGCAAAGCATTTCTCATCCATGCACAGGAGCTTTTACTCAATGTAATCTGTAGGGATGAGCAAGTACACCTTCATCTGTCTCTCTGTATGTTCAACCACCTAAAATATCTGCATCCACATACATACATTAGAATGGATGGGGCTTAAAACGGATGCGGGTGGAACTAACTAGAAGTTGGAAGTTAAGCCTGAAATGGATACGGGTTGAGCAGAAATTTCTATATTTACTCTAACGATACTCTTACGAGTATGTTATCGGAGTACTCGCTCAACCCTAGGAATCTCAAACTGCAACATCAGTCCTGTAGGGTTACTAACAGTAACATGGTTGTCTGATTATTATTATGGTATATGTCTTTACAAATCAGACAAACACAAATCAACCAGGGACGGACAACGAGCAAGAGTCAAAGAGAAACTCTGAATGAATGACTGACGAAACTGTGCCAAACTGCCTTCTATATGCAGCATTACAACATAGTGCTTTACATCCATCGTTTGTATTACAATGTAGCTAACTGTAACCAGAAAGAACTTCAGAAGAAAAGCACATCCAGGATGTGATTCTCCAGTCACACATCAACAGGTGGGTTGGGCCTGACCGTCTGCGTTTGACAATGCTGTAGAATTAGACTAGAAATAGCCTTCGTCTATCAGGGGACAATGCCGACTTTAACATTCAGACAGGAAAAACGTGTGTCCCCTCTGTCTCTCTCTCTGGCTCCTGATAGGACCACATAGACAAGTGCTCCACTCAAGGTGACCTATTTAATGCTGGATGTGAAAGTCCTTTTTTCCTTTCCTGTCCCAGTTTCTGTTCACTGGGAGCAAAAATAACTGTTCCCTTCAAAGGGGGCGGATAGACTTTTTTCCCCTCCACTAAATAAATCTAGATGTTACTGACAGCCACTCAGCTTATTTAGGAAGAATCAAATTTAAGCCTACCGCATCAATTCTATTATCTGTTGAAAAAGCGCCATCGGTTACGTAACCTAAAAAAATGAAGATGAAGCAATGCTAAAATAAAA